GTGAGTGTGTGAGTGAGTGAGAGTGATATGTTGTGAGTGTGTGAGTGTGTGAGTGAGTGATGTGTGAGTGAGTGATGTGTGAGTGAGTGATATGTTGTGAGTGATGTGTGAGTGAGTGATATGTTGTGAGTGTATGGTTCAGTGTATCATATTTGAAGGATGTACATGCTTTGGTGCATGCGTTTGCCCTGCATAGATTTTTATCAAAGTGATCAACTGGTTACTGCAGTGAATTGTTACTGTGTGCGTGTGTGTGTGTGTGAGATTTGTGTCACACGTTAATTTATCCTTTTCTAACAGTTTGTCAATATCACCACTTCAATAACAGCTGTAATAGTAATCACTGGAATAGATTTGCCAGCCGTAGAGAATTTTGAGTGAACTTGCAGTTTGGTCCACTTATGGAACATGATCTCATATCTAATTTCAGTATTATATAATTATTATAATGTACCGCTTAAGTCATACTTAAAGTTCCAGTGAAACGGAAGTTGGAGCGTAGGCCGGGTGTACAGTTACAAGGGGGATTAAAATCAAATCCGTGATTGGCCACTAAAAAGTGTGCGGGCTCAGAGTTTAGTGCGATACGGAGCTACAGAGGACTGTGGCTCCACACACACACACACACACACACACACCTCCCTTTAGCTGATGTTAGGTCAGGAGGAGGACGAGAGTCAAAAGGGAAACTCCCTGAGCTCCCCACATAGTTTTGCAAGTTTGATTTGATCGGATTATTTTGTCAACGCCCTGGATTGCAAACATATGAAACCGTAAAGCTAAAGACGCTCTAGCTCCCTGACAACTGCTAGGTGCCAACAATAACTACAAATATAATTATTGGACTTTTCTTGAAATTTGTTGACAATATTAAAGTATGGAATATTATTCTTTATTTCGTTACGGACATATACAATAAAATGGATTCATTAGATATCAGTGCGTGATGTTACAAGCTAGCTGTTAAAACTTCATTCCCACACTGCTTGAATGCAAAAGGACCTCTGTCAGATAAAAAAGGGAAGAACAGGATCTTGTGCTTCATTTCTAATATTAAAAGTATTCAATTCAACCCCCACCTCCTTCAAACACACAAACTGCATCCTTTTTTTGGTGGAAACTAATACTGGTTTTCTCTTCAGACGGATTTTTTTTCAACGGTAAAACATTTGCTGCATGAGAGATTTTGCCGCTGTTGCCACTTCCTGCTGTCTGAATGAATCCTGTCTGAGAAACGGTGTAAATACACATTTCTAGTCTGAGCTGAATTTATCGTGACCCCCTCTAATGAAATCTAGATGGTAGATGAGTTTTGGAGGGACAAAAAGTGGACATATGTACGAACCTGTCTTCCTAGTAGTATTTTTGCTCTTCAGTGTCACAGCCTGTCATGGTTTGTTTTGAACGTCTCAGCTTCATGTATTTATTAATTTAATGTTCATCCATGACAGCAGCACTGGTATTTTAAAGTTGATGAAGCCTGTGGAATAACTGGACACATTCATGTCTTTCAATCAGTAACCACTATTTCCACTTGATGTGTTTTTATCATGTTTTTACCCTCTGCTCTCCTGCTGCTGTGCACTTAATGCCTCACCTCCAGGACTACCCACAGACTCCTCTGTCTCGTTCTGGATTTGTTTGTGTCTTCAGGAAAGATTTCTGGTGGAACAGATTGTTGTGGACGTTTTAAGATGCCTCCTTAGACTACTGCACACTTTGCTTACTACCTGAACACGTCGTGTGATGGGTTGGTATTAACCCGGAGTGGATCTGCTGAAACAGGAAATGCTACTGACGGGGACTTTGCATCCTGCTCTTGGCATGAATGCCACCGGACAAATAGTCTGTGTGAGACTGACTTCTGTGTTCTGATATTTATTATGTCTATTTCAATAAAATGACCCAGTGTGTTAAAGGGTTTTGCGTATTTGTCCATAAACTACACATCATGTGCGAGAGAAAAAAGATTTTCTGACAGGGAAACATGTTAAAAGAAAGAGGTTTTTTATGTTTAACTTATTGTAAATATGTTTCCTTTTTTAACCATTGCTGAACTTACAAACTTTACTTTATTTGAAACCCCATCGATTTTAAACATCAAAGTTTGTTTTCGGGTGTTAGGGAGTACTACACTGTAAAAACAATTCTGTGTAATATACGGTAAATTACCGGCAGCTGTGGTTGCCAGAACTTTACCGTAAAA